GCTCGGAGCCTGGAGCCTGTTTCCGATTCTGTGTCTCCCTCTCTCTCTGCCCCTCCCCCGTTCATGCTCTGTCTCTCTCTGTCCCAAAAATAAATAAACGTTGAAAAAAAAATTAAAAAAAAAATAATAATAAATAAAAAAAATAAAATGACAGGCTTTGCGGTGAAGTTCCTGGATCCAAGTCCTGCCCCACTCTCTCGCTTAGGGCTTTGGGACTTTGAACAAGCTCCGGTGCCTCACGGGCCTCAGTTTCTCTGAAAATGGAGGTTATGATAGCATTTACATCACAGAGTACAAGAATTAGGTGAAGTAACCAGCAAAGGGCTGTCTAAAGCTATTACCATCACTTTAACTTAAATTGCTAGAACTTAAGAGAAGATGATTGGGGGTTGGTCGAAAGAGAGAACGATCATTTGCCACAGTATTATCAATGTAACTCCCCCTTTTCCTTGCTAGAAGGAAAGGAGGGAAGACTGGCCCACTTATGACATAGCAGTGCCTTCAAATTTTAGTGTTTGTCTCCACGTGGGCCGGTTTCAAAGGTCCCTCTTGGTAACAGGAACATTCTATACTGCCAAGCCAGTAGATCTCATATCCTACTAAATCTGTTGGGGATCCAGTTCTCCCTCCTGCTTCCTCGCCGCTCCCTGCCTCCCCCATCCCCACCCGGACACACACACGTTCCCATTTGCATGAAACCCTCTTCGGTAAATCCCAGCAGATGAGACGGTTTTCCAAATCCAAGGCTTGTTGTCAAGTGCTAAAGGTTGATAGTCTGGTAACTAGAGGGTGTAGAGTTCCCTCGATTATAACGATTTCTAGATAGGTAAAATTAACACTCTCTAGATAAGTGGATCCTTTGCCACAATCAAGAAAAAAAAAAAAACAAACAGCCTCAGGAAAGGAATAGGCCTTTTGTCAACACAAAAACCAACTCACAAAAATAATCTATTGAGAATTATGACCCAAACATTGGTACAAATAAATAATATTCTTGACGAAATTAAGCACCTGCATGAACAACAAAGGGCAGGCACACAATAAATAGAATTTTAGGGTACAAATAATTGTACAATGTGAAGGTTTTAATTGTATTCACTTCAGGGAAACCAGTTTTAACATTCACATTAGTACGCGACTGATTTTTTTTTTAAATATAGAATTAAACTCTTTCCATTTGCTTCCTTCCCCTGTTTATTTAACATTGTCGAGCTCGTTCTGTATGAGGCACTATTTCCTTGTGTGCAAAAAGCCTGATGTTAATACAACAACTTTTAAGATTACATGTGTCCACAACTTAAATGCTACTGAGTCATCATAACTCAAAACAGATTTAAGATATCAAAGGGCATTACCTGTAAGATAAGAAGGACCAGGAAATAGAAATTGGCTGCTCTCTTAAACTGCTCAAACAAATTCATTGGTAGAAAGGTAAAGGCATTATACTTGTACGTTTTAATTGCGTTACTCTGTTGGGAAAAAGAAAAAAAAAAATGAAAGGGTCATTCTACATGGGGCCGCGCTTTTTTCCTGATGTATACACCCCTGTGAAAATCACTAAAGCCTGATGGCCCACAGGGACACAGGGACATGGGCCAGGAAGACACCGAGATTTCCTTTACACTTTTAATTCTAATCAGCCCTCAGAATGACTCCTTGGAGGCTTAGGTCAGAGACAACAACAAGCAGCAGACATTTCACTTCAAGGGTCTCTGTGGCAAATCTGACTGAGCAAACGGACACGGCTGGAAGATTCCTGGACTCCTCAGAGCCTCTTAGAAAATAGGGCAGGGGCACCGGGGTGGCTCCGTCGGTGAAGCGTCCGACTTCAGCTCAGGTCATGATCTCATGGTTCGTGAGCTCGAGCCCCCCGTCAGGTTCTATGCTGACGGCTCAGAGCCTGGAGCCTGCTTTGGATTCTGTGTCTTCCTCTCTCTCTCTGCCCCTACCCCGCTCATGCTCTGTCTCTCTCTCTCTCTCTCTCTCTGTCTCAAAAATAAGCAAACATTAAAAACAACAATAAAAAAAAAAAGAAAACAAGGCAAAGGGAGACGTCAGCCCGAGCGACGACGCTGGAAAAGGAACACTCTTTTACTGAAGGGGGATGAAGTCTACTGTGTAAAATAAAAGACACTGTTGTGTGTTGAATTGTGTGCCCCTTTTAAAACATATGCTCACGTCCTAACTCCAATAGCCGTGACTGTCATCTTATTTGGGAAGGGGGTCTTTGCAGCTGTAATCAAGTCACAGTGACGTCATGCTGGATGAAGGTGGGCCCTCATCCAATGTCTGCTGCCCTTAGAAGAAGAAGAAGGAGAGGACAAGTGGACACAGACATAGGGACACACGGGGACAAGGCTGTGTGGAGACAGAGCCGGGGAGTGGAGGGATGCGTCCACAAGCCAAGGAAGGCCAAGGATTGTCGGCAACCTCCAGAAGCCGGGACAGAAGCCTGGAACAGACGCTGCCTCAGACCCTCCGGAAGGAACCAACCGGACTGACACCTTGATTTTGGACTCATGGCCCCTAAACTGTAAGAGAATACATTTCTGTTGTCTTAAACCAGCTCGTCTGTGGCTCTGCTGCAGCTGTCCTAGCGACTAAAAGACACGTTACGACGCGTAAGCACGCACCTGACGGGGGACCCTTGATCATATTGGATTATTTTTTTAATAATTGCTTTAATGTTTATTTTCAAGAGTGAGAGAGAGAGCAAGCAGGGGAGGGGCAGAGAGAAGGCGACAAGAGGATACAAAGCAGGCACTGCACGGTCAGCACCAAGCCCAACGCGGGGCTCAGACTCACGAGCCGTGAGATCGTGACCTGAACCAAAGTCAAACACTCGGCCGACTGAGCCACCCAGGTGCCCCGATCGTATTTTAAAGGTAATAAGGACTTCTGGGGTGAAAAGATCTTTGGTCTCTAAATCTATCACAGGCAGAAAAGGGGGAAATAGGTTCTTAAGATTCCTTTCAAATTCTTATTACTTTCAAACATAACGTTTCTGTGACACTGTTGTATATTCTTCTATAAAACATTAAGAGAGCTCTGCACACACACAGGGAACTTTTCAATCTGCATAATTTTGTTCTGGCTTGTGTCAAGCCACCCCTACTCACCTTTATTAAATTCAAAGTGATGAATAAAAATGATATTCTATACGATGGACAATGATAATCAATACAACAGGCCGGGGATTATCTGGAAGGCAGGTGTCCCATGAAGTTGCTAAGCATAATGGCTATTGGAAAAAACTGGCTCTTAGCGAAGATGAGCTAGAAAGTTAAAATCCATGGGGCGCCTGGGTGGCTCAGTCAGTTAAGCGTCAGACTTCGGC